CATTGGTTAGTTGAAGTACTGCATGAAAGGGAGAGTGTTGATTTGTTTGGTGTGATAATTCCCACTGAAATCCAACCAAGAACTTGGCAAGAAAAGACTGCAGTGAAAATAAAAGTGTTACTTTGCACATTCTGAGCAAACCCAGGCAGAACATAAAATCAGCATCTTCCGCTCATAGGAAATATTTCAGCCTCATTGCATGGATCCTGGGTCAGGGTAACGGGCTCACTGCATGGATACTGGGTCAGGGTAACGGGCTAACTGCATGGATACTGGGCCAGGGTAACGGGCTCACTGCATGGATACTGGGCCTGTGTCTGTGTATGATGTTGTTGAGAAGCAGCATATTGCCAAACCATACTGATCTCTAATGCAATCCCTCTGGCTGATGTAACAGCAGGAAATAAGCACTAGCAAGAAGAACAATGCCAAGATCGCTATGTATCCCATACCAGACGACTGCAGTACATCATTTACAAATCTGAGTGCAGTTTGGCTCATTTGCATACCTAAACTGTCCATAGTGTATTTGCCTTGTGATGGACTGGCATCATATCCAGGCTTCGTACTGTCCGGCCATGACCCTTTACCCGCTGGATGGATGCTTAGATTTCTAAGTTTATATTATGGTATAACAGGGTTTCAAGTGGAAGCATTTTAACTGCAATGATCTGCAATACATCCATATTCTGAACATGCACAGGTTTTTAATAATATGTCAATATGTATTACATGTATTACTGTATGCAGTACTGATGGAATATCCGCTATAGATATGGCTTTGATTGCCAAATTTATACTTCGAATATCACAAGTTTTCTTATGAAGTTGAGACTTATTTTCTCTGGCTTAAACTTGCAAAACCATTTGTTACAATCATGTATCTGAATTTCTTTGTTGCTTTTTTCGTCACGCCATGACTTTAAGCTTCCGTTTCTGCGAAATAACGCACAGCTACTTCGTCACACTCCGTGGAAAAGACTGGTGGTGTTTTATGTTCCGAGGGACAGGGCAGTAACACAGATCCCTGTCGTGCCACGGCCGTAAACAGCTCGTCATGCAAAGAAGTTAGAGGTTCCATAGGTGGGGGGTGCAGTAACGTTTGTTTGAGGAGCAGAGAGATTTCGCTTCGGCAGGACTACAGCCCCCGCTGATTGGACGGTCATGAAGGCGATCTGGCCTCTGTCTAGCTTAAGTCAGACGACAGGACGGGAATGGTTATTCCTTTGGATCGCAGTAGCCGATAAGCAGCAGGAAGGAAGGAGATCTTAGACTGTGTCTTTTCAAAATAACCAGACTCACATCCGCAGGTTCAAAAGGAGAAGGAAAAAAAATATCCAGAAAGCTGCGGTGCTCTCAGAGCAGGGGACTTCATTAGGAAATGTATTCATTTCACAGTCAGTCTCGCGGCACTTTTAACTAGCTTTGTTTTCATATTCTGCAAAGGGACTGGGTGGGGTTATGTTCTTTACTTTATAAAAGGCTGGCCATATTTATGCCTTTTAAGTCATGGTTTGAAATTAACTGACAAAAAAAATGATTACCTTTCCCAATATGGCTAAGTACTAGTATTCATTTCCAAGACCAGTAATTTCACAGCATAATATAGACTCCCATATACACAGTTTACTCGATCATTTTTAGGGAAAAAACGGCCAATTCCTCTGGAAAAATGGAATATTGTTTTCGTTTTCCAGGACCAGAATAGTCCTTTTGGTATAGCCCAGAAAGGTCAGGAATGGTATATTGGAATCTTTCGATCTTAGCCCCTGTCTTACATTCCAAAGTATGCATCTTGTTAACAATGGATAATTACCCAGAATGCCCCTGTCTCCCATTATACAAGTCCTGGGAATTTGGGAATCATCTCAGCTAAAGGAGAAAAGTAGAGCTGACAGTAGCTACAAATCAGAGAGCTACGGTTTTTTTCGTATATATGGTGTAATGGGCACTAAACCAGAGGATATGGATGTTTAGCACAAAGGGCCAGACTAACAGCACAAAGGGCAACCCGCTAACAGAACAGGCAAATGCTCGTTTACAGATGTCAGATATGCTGGATCTGGAAAAGCCGTTCAGACTCTGCTCAGACAGCGACGCTCACCAGCACTTACTGATTTTCAGAACATGAATTAAAAAAAAATGACAGACAGCTTATACATATTTTTTCACCGTAAAGGTTGTTGTTAATAATTTGCCGTGTGGCATACTCTATATAGATCTGTTCAGCTGACCTCCGCGTTTCAAATGTTGAAACTCCGGTGCAGTGTTGCCTTCAGACTGAATACCAATGACATCTACTGCCCTCTGCTGGAATAAATGCTGAATTACTCTAAAATCGTGGAAAGGCATTTATCATGCCTCGTGACATCCTGGAGAGTTTGTTTCGAAATTTAAATTTTTGTTAATGCAAATCCAGATTATCTGAATACATGCAGCATTTAGACAGGGTCAGGAAGGTCATTATGGCTAAGTAACTGAATACGTGAGATGTGTGATCTAAGTGAATGCAAACATGGGGTAATTATTAATGCCATATATAGTGGTTCTAGCATCTCAGAAACAATCTCCTTGGGGTTTTTATGCACTACAGTGTCTAGTGCACCGCTATTCAAATCACGGTCCTCAAGGTCCGAGCACTGCTGATTTTCCAGCCTTCATTATCTGTGAGCCTGGTCTGAGGCCTCTGGCCAATCAGAATCAGTAATTATTAAACTAACTACCTGGGAGAACTGAAAACAAGGCCTGGATTTGGAATCGAGGGCCAGATTTGGAGAGCCCTGCACTAAGGTTTACAGAGAACGATGTGATGAACTAAAAAACACTGAAAATGCCTAGTTACACGTCAGAGGAGAATGAGGGTATCTCATTTATCTCATATCTCATTTATTGCCAGTATCTGTTATGTTGTAGTGATATTGCCATTTTTGTGTTTCTGCTTTTTCACAGAAGGTACATCACATGATTTGAATCATTGCTGCAATTAAAGGTCAGCGCTCTGGTTTCAGATGTATTTTTGATTTCTTGGTATTTCGCTTGCAAACATTCAGTGGCTGCTGTATGCATATGCGCGGCTGCCAGGCCCGTTGTGGGCGGACAGACAGGACAATGCGTCTGCAGGAAGTCCACGGGACAAGCAGCCCGTCTGAAAAGAAAGCGTCCGGCTGCGAAGGCTGCAGCTCGACATGCACCTCCTCACACGTTGCCTCTTCATCCGCATCCTGCTGAACAAGCATTCACGGTGAACGGTGCACTTGCGACAGTGCGCTCTGAGTGTCCCGCTTCCGTCCATCTGGGCACAGGTGGGGGCCCCAAGTGGGGAAATCAAAACAAAGGACTACCTCAGAAACCCACTTCCTCTTTCACGCTGCGTTTACGGTACCCTGTCTTTCTTTTGGTCTTTTTTAGGCATTATGCACACGTACCTTAAAACTAGCCTTAACCGGTTAATGTGAAGAGAAAACAGCAGCACAGGAAGATGCAGGGGCCTGCAGATGTGCACAGGCAGACTCCAGAAGACACTGAAGATGGGGCTAGAGAAGTTTCGCTTGAGCATGTATTACCGATACGCTCGGTATCATTATCGTTATATGCTTGGTATCATTACACGCTCGGTATCGTTACACGCTCGGTATCGTTATATGCTCTATAGCATTATACACTCGATACGTTATACACTCCGTCACACTTTGATAGGAATGTACCAGCATTTCGGGTCACTTTATGGAAAAGGCACGTCTGAAAGTCTGAAGTTTGACCTGAATCTATGACCAGATTCACACAGCTAATGGATCTGTATGACACGTGGAAGGGTAAGAATAGGGACTTCATTTGGGTGTGGCTTTAAGAAAGTGACGGACAAAAAAAAAAGAGAGAACCAATGAAAATTGCAGAAATATTCAGGGATAACAAACAGACGTCAGGTCTCAGACAGGGGTTCAACTGAGAGAATGGATATCAATGGATATCAATAACTAAGTGTCACAGAGACAAACAGACGTTCATTTATGGTTATCAGTAAGTAGGTGCAGGTGAATGGAGCTGCCACCTGTCACCCCCCCACACCCGACCTTATATAAACCTCTAAGCCTTTGGCCTTCTAATCTACATACAACTGCACTGACCAGAATAATTCAGCTCATCAGTTCAAAATAATTCTGATACAATGTTTACAACAGTCAGTAGGAAGGTTCAGCAAACCATCATGTCACTTTTACTCTATAATTGTGTTTTTATCCTTTATGATAATCTAAACCTGCTGAATTACATAAAAATCACTTTCTCACTTTATATCTGTAAAACTTGCATTTTCAGTAAGATTAATGTGGACTTTTTACAATATATGCACAGTACTTTGATGATAAATACAAAGGGGAAGACAGTATTATCACAGGGACAATCAGAAAGTCGCAACTTGCAGTTAACAGGGCAATTTGCACGGCAACTACTCACTACAGTCACTTTCCACATGGAAAATGGAGAATTTGAGAAGCGATCTGTGAAGATCAGTCACGTCACCTGACATGCTTTCAAACCAGTGCTTCTCTAACCCAGTCCTTAGGGACCGCTAGACGGTCCACGTTTTTGCTCCCTCCCAACGCTCAGGGTATTTAGTGGGAGCAAAAACAGGGGCTTTCTGGGGAGTCCCCGAAGGACTGGTTTCAGAAACACCGCCCTACACGATCGCTACAAGAGACTCGCGCAGGAAATGCAGGCATGCGTCTGCAGATTTCACAGGTAGCATGGCAGGAAGCTGTGGCTTAGTTACTGATAAACCTTCATTCATCTTATCAGCCGACGTCTTCTGGGCCCTTCTGCAGAGGCATCTGTGCAGCTGAACCGTCTGACATCCTGCCAGATAGCAGCAACGCTGCCGGGGGCTGCTGAATAGGCCAAAGCCTGAGTCCGGAATGCGGTCCACGGGTTTTAATGTGGCCGACCCCATCGACCTGACACGCAGACACACCTTGTGGTGGTGGTGGAGGGCGGGGGGGGGGGGCTTTCCTCTGTCACCCAGTCCCCAAGGTTTGCACCACTCACATAGTTTCCTAGCCGTTAGCCAGATGCCCGAGGTTGGCACAGAGTGAGTCTGTTCTTCTCGTACGAATGGTGTCCATTTGACTAGACAAGGACCAGTTTGCATAAAAGAAATTAAGTCTGAGAGATAAGCGAGATCTTCGGAGTTTTATCAACACTAACCAATCTGACCAGTCACACCATCGTGGAGTAGGACCGCAGCGTCTTATCAGGGGCTGCCGGGCAGTCCCCGTTTGTGAAACGCAATCCCAGCATGCACGGCGAATTCCGCGTGCCATCATGCAGCTGGGCGTGCCGTGGAGGCGGGGCACTGGAGGCCTCTTCCAGGGCAGAGTCCAGGCTCTGGCAGCGTGACTGGGCCTTCCCGTGGGGACGGAGGGCGGAGTCCTGGAGCAGCTCGGCCGCCGAAGCCCGTAGCTGGGGGTTCCTGTCCAGGGCGCGGCCCAGGAAGCCACGCAGGGCGGCGCTGCAGGCATCCGCGATGTCCTCTAGGGGCGGGGCCTGTTTGTGAATCTGGGGGGGGGGGGGGGGGGGGCAACAGCAGATATTAGAGGCTGGAGTTGTGGGATCGATACGGGCGATGGCAGGCATCCCCATACCAACTCAACAGTGATTTTTCAGGTTCTTCTTAGTGTCGCGGAACGAAAACCGCACACTGCTGTTCTGTGAAACAGAGACATTGTGTTCGCAGTACCGCGGTAGAACGACCACAGGCACCGCACAGAGACTGCAGAATTAAAACTTCGATCTAAGAAAATGGGGTAACCCGCGAGATCCGGATCGCTGAGTCTTCAAAATAAATCGGCACCTTTTTTCATGTTAGAAAATGTACACGAAGCGTAGAGCGTGTGGGGGCTTCTGTCTATCTTTCACTTGTGGTCAGAGGTGAGATTTCAAAGAAACTCACCCCATCTTGCTTCTAATTATTGCTTTTCTTTCAAAACTACTCCCTGACATCTCCACAGCCAAAAGGACATGCACAGTATAGACCATCAGCAGACCAACTGAAAGTAAAATACTCTTCACATCACTCTCTTTATGGTAATGTACTAAAATATTATTAAATAAAAAGGCACAATATCACTGACAGGAGATAACTGACAGAGTATAAAAAGTGCACAGTACTGTTTAATACTGGCAATAAACACATTACCTCACTGTGTAAATTCTGTTATAAAATGTAATATTGTACAAATTAATACTCAGCACATCATTGTCCTAGGGATTCAGTCTGAAACTGTAAATTAGTTGCTTTGTTGTTGATTTTTTCCAAACTGGCTTACAGTATATGTACAATGCCTGGTCAAAAAAAAAAAGTCACGCACTTTAATATTCTGTTGGACCACCTTTAGCTTTGATGATGGTGCACATTTGTCTACGTAACATCTCAACATTTTTCTCATCCATGTTTGCGTTCATTTCCTGCCGAGATCCTGTATCGATGAAAAGCGAGTTGAACCACTTTAAACGCTTCTTCAGCACATCTCAAAGACTTTCAGTGGGGTTAAGGTCAAGACATGTGAAATTGGTTCCTCGTGCTCCCTGAAGCACCCTTTGACGGTTGGAGCCCTAAGAATCTCGGCATTATCGTCCTGGAATACGCCCGTGCCGTTAGGGAAGGAAAGATCCATTGGTGGGATACCCTGGTCATTCAGGACATTCAGGCACTCAGCTGAGCTCTAATAATGATCCAATCACTGTCACTGTTTCTTGCTCGCTTAACTTCAAACAGTGACTTTTTTTTTTTTTGGCCAGACAGTGTAGCTAGTTCAATAAAACCATTAAGATTAAACGTCCAGTTAGATGTTACCATTGCTTGCCCTTAACCACATGGACAGCCGCTGCTGCCTGTTTCATCTGACCCCTACTTGGTCAGTACTGGTGGCCCAACGCGGGATATTCAGACCCCCCCGGGAAGAGCGGGAATGTAGTGAGGACACCTACTATATAGAGGTAGGAGGGGTAGGCCGATGGGGGGTATCGGCGCACCCAGGGGGGGTGTCCCGTCTGCATGTGGATGATAGAGGCCCCCAAACTGTAGACGTCAGCCTTGGTATTGTGACCCCGGCACAGCACTACCTCCGGACTCATGTAAAGCTGCAGAAAGACAATAACCGTACAGAACAGTCTGCCAGACGTCCAGCACAGGATCTACACGAAGCCGGCGCCATCTTTAAGGGCCCCAGCCATGCCAGCCACAACCTGCCCTCACTGCTGACTCCACAGGAGCTTCCACCTCAGGCAGTGAGCCCACTCAACACAGACACCCTTCATCTGCACATTTTAAATTCGCTTATTTTATTTTTAATATTTTATTTACTATTTTCTGTTTTTTTATTACACATTTCTTTACTAGCTCTCGCGGAAAGTTATTTTGTTGTCTGCATCTACTTCTGCTTCTACACTGTCACGCATTTAGCCTTGAATTACTGTACATTTATTTCTCATCCTTGGCACTGCATCACTGCAATGTGCCGTGTATGCAGTGAGGCTCAATGGCGGATTTGCTTGCAACTTTCAAGCCGATGTAAGTGCCTCTGATTAATATGACATTCCTTTTAATCAATATAATGCCTGGTGTAGCCTTTTGTCTATAAACAAAGCAGAAATCATCCTTTCTACTGAAAAGCATAGAAACTCCTCATATGAAGAATAAAAAGAATCATATTCCTGGACACGATACAGTGCAATATCATTTTGTTGCAGTATTAGACTGCAAAAAACTGATAAAAGATAAACTGATAAAACAAAAACTCACAGCTAGCAATCATGATGCTAAACCGCCAAGTCTTCCCTCCACAAACACCCTGAGATCGGGCAGTAGCTCACCTCTGTCCCACGGAAGTCCTTAGGGTAGTACAAATCCCCAGTCATCTTCACAGAGAGTCCAAAATCCACCAAGACGGCTTTGGAAGACATCAGGACGATGTTGCTGGCTGTCGGGGGCAAAGATATTTCTTATTTATTGCAAAGGCAACTGGAAGTGATTTGAAATCCCACGAGTGAACACCAATCAATGTACCAGTTCATGGTAGGTTTGTGTCAAGTGGCAAACATCTTGTCTGAGACCGTTTCATTATCTCAGATGATCAACATTATGATCGATCTCGAGTTAAAAAGGAACGGAACAACGGTTTAACCCAAATATCCCGGGACCACCTACGTTTGATGTCGTGGTGGATGACCCTGCGGGAATGCAAGTAATCCAGGCCCCTGAGGATCTGCCTGGTCACCCAGATGATCTCGCTCTCCCACATGGGCCCAGCGCTATCCAGCTTCTCCAGAACCGAGCCGCCTTCCCCGGCCTCCATGAACAGATGCATGGTCCGGTCCCAGAGCACAACACCAAACAGCTCTGCTATGTTCCGGTGCTGGAGCCCAGCCTGGATCTCCACCTCAGACGCTCCAAAATCCTCCAGAGGAATCTAGAAGATGTGGAGAAAACCAAATGAAGAACCTCCATCCACCTTTTTCTTAGTCTACAAATTAAATGGTGATGTTTCTTTTTATTACCTAAAACTGGCGGCTGGAATTCTGAGAATTAGGAGAAATGCTTAATTCGTTATTAGCTTGTACTAAAAATGACCGTAAACATCTTTAAATGTGATTTTCCAAGCCATTCAATAAGATACTTTCAGTGTCTCACGTTGATCCTGAAGTTCATTCCATCCCACAGACATTAAACGCTTTGCAAGACGTTACTGACCAGCTTGCAGGCCATCCGCTTCCCCGTTTGTGTGTCCTGGCCTAGGTGGACCCTTCCGAAGGCCCCCTTGCGGACCTGGCCAAGCTGAAGATTCTGGAAGGTTGGCATCCATGGAAACAGGAAGACGTCTGCATTGATACGATAGCGTCCTTCCTTCACCGCCAAGTAGGCCTGCAGAGAGAGAGGCAGGACATCACATCATTATTTAAAGGCTTTATTATTTATGCAACATAGCAAAATACTTGACAAGTATTATAGAAGTATTTTTTTTTTGTTCCAGTATGTCTTATGAGGCCTTGGAGATGCTAAAAGAGGAAGAACATTTCCGACAGAACGTGACCTAGAAAGCGATGCCCACACTGTGCAAAACCACAAACACACTTCCCCAAAGCACTGGATCCAAAACACAAGACAAAGTCAGCAAGCGCACTGAAGGACTGATAAATTACATCTGAGAAAACACATGCGCAAATTACTCTGAAATGCACACACACACACACGCGCAAATTAATTAAAAGTAAAAGACGTGAAAGTGGAGGCTCCGAATTGACACGAAAATTTAACAGACCGGTGACAAATGTAATTTTGGCATCTGCTTGAATTCATAAATGATACTTTAACAATCTAGCCTTCACACTGTATTAATGACTGGCATACATGGGAAATATCAGCTTGAGAGTTGATGCACATTTTGGAGCGTGGACACCACCTTGATAGAGCATGAGAACCTGAACTTGCCTTGTTGATCACTATCCCCATCTCTTCTGTCAGGTCTGGCATATGGAGGCCACTTTGTGCATTTGATATCAGGTTAACAAAATCCAGGAGATCAAACATGGTCCCATATCTGACTCTGTCACTCCATTTTGTGACCAAACCACCAGGCTCAGGACAGTCATTCATCTCCTCTTTTTCTCCCATATCATCTTGGAAGACGGAGTCTTCAAAGAGTGAGCTTTGATCTCCACGAGGATGGAAAAGGTCCTCCAGTTTCATGAAGCTGCCAATATCCATATTTGCCAGAAGAAGGTCGACAGCAGTCTGGTTGGTAAGTCTCATAGTATCACTATGATTGTCTGACCTAGGAGTGAAATGTTTCTTGACTCGAAGCGTGAGCACCAGCTGTGACCCTGCATCTACACCTAGCACACACCAGTATGGCGTTACCACCAACACCATTCACGATATTCACAGACGGGGAGTGGCCTACGTAAAGCGTTCCCGTCTCAAACTCCTCCCCGTTACCAAACTTCACAAACACTCTCAGGGTTTCGTAATAATTTTTTTCACTTCTTCATATTAGAAGTTTAAAGAAAGCATGTTTTCAGCTAACTGATACAAAATGCATAGCTTAAGTCAACAAAAGTTCGTGTTTTTTTTTTCCTTACTAAAATGTTGAAGTCTGCCATATTCACATTACATTGCATTTAAATGCTTACATGTGTTCTTACTCCAGAACAGTAAAACTTCGTCTAAATCATACTGCAAGGCACAAACACACTGGGGATAGTCATACAGAGCCAACCTCACGGCAGATTTATACATGCACCTGCTATAATTTATAAATTGTAGCCAAATTATGAGGTTAAAGGGGGGAGAGTAATAAACGTTTCAGAGTGATGGCAGATTTTAGTGATGCCTCTCTGCGGGAGCGGGTGTTGAGGACAGTCTCGAAATGGGTGCATGTGTTCCGGTGAAGACGTGGTCGTCTCTACCATATCCGTGCTTTGCAATCCAGTGATGAGCCGTCACGCCGCCAGGAAGAAAGGAGACCATCGTGTTAATCTCCTTATCAATTAATGCAAAGTTCGTGTCGTGAGAAAATAGTTCACCTCTCACGGAAGGCTTAATGTAACACAACGTTATCCTGGGTGGTGCAGATGGAAACATTGCACGGAGTGTCCAGACACACAAACACACTTACAAGAAATGCTTCCCCCCCACATCTTATTTCCATATACTTGGTACAGGAAACAAACAAATGGTTGCTTACTAAACTACGTCATTTGCGGCGTCAGACAGGGGAATCCCCGTATTAACTGGATTAAATCCTTGACGCTCCATTTCCTAAATCATCTATCGAAATACGCATCTACCTGTTACTTCGTTGTACATTAAGTGTCGGGAGAGCATGCAGGGAAACACACGTACGTAATCTAAGACTCCACATATACACACTAGACAAATACACAGTATAGACTCCCAGAGCCGATCCATGCGGGTTGAGATATAGGGCGTATAAAATGCTTTGATGACCTTATTTTTTCCGGTTGCCTGCGAGGGCACGGACAAGCAAACTTTCCAAGCTCTAGTCTGTTACTGTTTAAATACATGTCAGCACCGTTCACGCATATTCTGAAATTGCAATTGCAAACGTAATATCGCGTTCTTTATGCATTTAAAATGTTTGGTCGAAGAGGAACGTACTGATCGCTGTACTGTAGCTTATCTTACTTATAAAATGCTTAGGTTATGCCAGAAAGCCCTTTCGGCAGGTGTGCCCGTACGCAGTCTGCAAACGGGAAACCCAGACCGCGAGGGCGCTGTCATTACTGGGAGCACGTGCAGGTGTCAGAATCGTTAGCGCTGACTCCTGCTTCGGCTATGAAATTAAGGGTACTTTTTTGGTTTATAAATACTCCAGTATTTCTTAAAACAAAACCACATTGTGATTTTCGAAAAATTTCAAATACCCTCGTATATTATACAAAATAATTTATATCTTGTCATGCGCCATCCTGATCTTCTTCTATCTGTCCTTCCTAACAGATCGCAATTAAAGCTTGGATCTCTTAATTTGTCCATGAATACATTATCTATCTATCTATCTATCTATCATCTATCTATCTATCTATCTATCTATCTATCTATCTATCTATCTATCTATCTATCTATCTATCTAATGTTCATCGTTGTTTTCGTACCTTATTTTTGCTGCATTGTTTTTACAGACAGGCTCTTTGGTTAACCGATAAAAAAAGACATTTCAGATCCCACCCAAAAGTACCGACGTCCGAAAAAGTACCACGGCTGGTTTGCCACTTTAGGTACCGAAACTTTTGGTCAAGGGAAAATAGTGAAAGTTCCATAACAAGGGCTACCCACGCTTCTCTGCCCTTTGCCCGTCTTCCACAGCATGACTGACCTATTTCGGGGTGGTCTAGGCAGCGCCAGCAGCTTGCGGTAGGGCTGGTTAGTGTAACTAGCAGGGCGTCATGGGCTGTTTTCCTCTACAACTAATCAGAATCAGAATTTTTTATTGTCAGATAAGCCATTGCACTTAGCGTTACCAGATGCATAATTTATATGCGGCTGCCTCCCCCGACCACTCTCACCTGAGCCCCCACCTTAGGCCCCATCACCATGGTCACCCAGCACCCCTGCACTTAGCATGCAGTTGCACATCCGTTTTATTCTGCGCTGCTAAACACCCGCCTGCTCACGCTGAACATTCGCTTTTTCAGACGGTATTTATGTGTATGTATATTTTAATGTATCGTTTATATTTACTGCACTGGCCATGGTATTGGCTGCATGGTATTGTCTATATGTATATTTTACATTTTGATGTATTTTTTGCACGTTTGTATATATTCTATATTAGTAACTACTTTATTTTTTCTACACGTTAATATTTTTTATCTATGATAGACCAATTTTATATGCTATCTACTGAAGTTGAACTGAAATGGATGAATGAATGAATGAATGAATATGAATGAAATGACAGCTTTCATTATATATTCAATCTCTAAAAATTCAACCCATTCCATCCACCTTGTTTCCAACTGCATATATGTACAGAGCACAGACAGACCTGGAGTCTATCCCATGCAGCACAGGGGGGCCTGGAGCCTATCCCATGCAGCACAGGGGGGCCTGGAGCCTATCCCATGCAGCACAGGGGGGGCTGG